TGGCGGCGGGGCGCTGCGGCCCCCCGCGCGCGCCTGCCCGAGGAGTTGCTGCTGCTGCTGCCGCTGCTGGGACGCAGTTGGAACTAGCGCGCGCCGCCTCCGCGCCGAGCCGAGCTGAGCTGCAGCCGCCGCCGCTTTCCTTTCTCCGCCTCGAGCCGCTCTCGCTTTTGCCGACAGGGGCCTCGGCTTGCTCCTCGCCGTCGGTCTGCGCCGCCGCCACCACTACTAGCCGGGGCGAAGGCGAGCGGTTTTTGCTCTTTTCAGCCCTGCGCCCCTCCGGAGCGCCTTCCTGCCTACCCACCCAGCGCGCCGGCTCCGGCCAAGAAGAAAGGCAGCCTCCTTTTGGCTGGGGGCGTTTTCTGCCTCGTCCCCTCCCTTCCTCTTGGCGGCGGCGGCGGCGGCGGCTGCTTCTTCTCTCTCTCTTTTTTCTCCTGAGAGGGTGGGAGGGGAGACTCGCAGGAGCCCCGGCGAGGGAAGCCAGACGCGCGCAGCCCGCCCGCCCGCCCGGGGTGTGCGTCAAGGAGCCATGCGAGAATACAAAGTCGTCGTGCTGGGCTCGGGCGGGGTGGGCAAGTCGGCGCTCACCGTCCAGTTCGTGACGGGCTCCTTCATCGAGAAGTACGACCCCACCATCGAGGACTTCTACCGCAAGGAGATCGAGGTGGACTCCTCGCCCTCGGTGCTGGAGATCCTGGACACGGCCGGCACCGAGCAGTTCGCCTCCATGCGGGACTTGTACATCAAGAACGGGCAAGGCTTCATCCTGGTCTACAGCCTGGTCAACCAGCAGAGCTTCCAGGACATCAAGCCCATGCGGGACCAGATCATCCGGGTCAAGCGGTACGAGAAGGTGCCCATGATCCTGGTGGGCAACAAGGTGGACCTGGAGGGCGAGCGGGAGGTCTCCTTCGGGGAAGGCAAAGCGCTGGCCGAGGAGTGGAGCTGCCCCTTCATGGAAACTTCGGCCAAAAACAAAGCCTCGGTGGACGAACTCTTTGCCGAGATCGTCCGGCAGATGAACTACGCCTCGCAGCCCAACGGGGACGACCAGTGCTGCTCCTCTTGCGTGATCCTCTGAAAGGAGGCGAGGGCGCACGCAGGTCGTCGTCGGCTGTGGTTTCCCTTTTAAAGTACATGCATAAAGGTTTACAGAGGAAAAAAAGAAAATCCGGCTCCACGAAGGCGGCGTTGGCGACCAATGTCATCCTGTGAAAATCCAAGCTTCGAACCAATTTCGCATCACCGCCAGGATTCCTTCTAGGTTACGGCTTCTGTTGCTGCTGCGGGTGGTTATCAGTGTCATGGGTGTGTGCATCGTCTCTCCTTAACATCTGGCCAGATTTTTTTAGAAAACCCACAACCCATACCCAACCTTGTTGCCGCTTTCCGCATGTACATGCCATCGATTTGATTGTTGCTTATTCCTTGTAAGTACCTCTTTTGCAGATGGCAGTATTGGCAACTGATAACCAGTAGGAAGAGTTTTGTGTGTGTGTGTGTGTGTGTGCCAGCCAGTGTGCTCCTTTGCAGCAGCGGAGAGAGAGGAAAAAAGGGAGTTCACACATGGTTTTAAGAAGAGAAAAAAACTGGAAGATTGAAAACACACACAGAGACACCTATAAGAAAGGAAGGGAAGCAGCGGAGGAAGAATGTTCTGTACATGTGGGGGAAAGGTTAAGATCCTCCGCTTTGTCAGTCCGGACTCAGCCGGGGACTAGGAAATTTGATTCTGAGGATTTCTATGCAAAGTTGGAATACTTGTTACCAAGCCTATCCCGTCTGAAGAAGTATTGCACATGTACGGCCTGAGACTTTTAATAACACTGCTGATGCCAATACGGTGTGTGAGGTGCCAGAAAAAAAATTGTCTGCTGATTTTACTTGTGAAATCTTCTATTTTGTTTACCTGCTGTACTGAAGAGGAGGGGGATGGAGAGCATTTATTTGTGGTTTTGATTCTTTTTTTTTAAAAGAAAACAGCTGTGAAAAAACATTACAGATCTGCACAATTTTTAAGTTGTGTGTGTTTTGGACGGGTTGGATTGGAGTGGGGGGAGGGGAGGGCAATGGGGGGGATGGTTTTTCTTATTTAATTTGAGGTGGGGAGGGGGGCGGGTGGCAATCACTGATTGTGACAACTAGCTCTTTAAAGTTGCAAAGACTTCCTAAAATGTGATGCAGGGCCCAACAGCAACCCTGTGTCAGTAGAGTGCCTTCAAGACAGCTGTTGCAGCCGGTGCCATCCTGTGGAAGCTCCAAGTGTCCCATTATCTACTCCAAAAAAAGAGGGGGAAAACCCTATTTCACAGTTTCAGTAATCATAGTAACCAAGCCAGAACAAAAGGGCCTATTGTTAATGGAATTTACTTCCTATTTTCAATTTAGAGCCTTTTTATTCTGTATAGCTTCCATGGCTTTCAAGTTCAGTCTGGTTTTTTTTTTTTAAGGGTTTCTTTTCATTCAAGTTCCCAGGTAGTAGCATTTTTTTTTTCATTTTTGTGTTCTCTTGTAAGACGTTCCTTCAGCCAGCAACAAAAAGAATTGTAATGTGATGTACCTGGAAAACAAAATCTCTTTAACTGTAATTTTAAATTCCACACATGCATTTAATAGATGTTTTATTCATTTAAAATCTTTTAATACAATTTTCATTTTTCAAAAATGGCAAGTTTTGTGGGTTTTTAATGTATCTGTAATTAAATCTGCAATTGCAGTAGATGATGAGTGGTTGAGAACAAATAATTTTGCATGGTATAGAAGGGAACTTGGTCACCTGATTATAACGAATGCTAACAACTTTGTTCATAATGGTATTTAGGCCTTGGGGTGGGTCTGAAGGTGCCCAGCTGGAAAGAAGCTGGGAAGGGCTGTGGCTCAGTGGTAGAGCATCCTGATTGGCATGTAGAGGGCTCCAGGTTCACTTCCTGGCATCTCCAGTGGAAAGGACCAGGCAGTAGGTGTTGTGCTGGAGAACCACTGCTAGTTTGAGTAGACAGGTGTGACTTTGTTGGACCAAAGGCCTGATTCAGCATAAGGCAGCTTCATGTGTGTTCAAGTTACTTCCACACAAGGCAAGGGATTTCTGTAGTTTTCCCATGCAAGTCAATCTCCAGGAGCTACTTTGGTGATGGAGGAGCTGTAGAATACAGGAGGATATAGGAGGAAAGGTCTGTTCCATAGGTGGAACTCCCCTTCTGGTTCATTGATTCTTGTGCAAGGTGTACAGTAATGCATCCATATTTTAAATGGGTTGCATTTTATTAGTGTGCAGCATGAATCCTAATCATGATTACTGAACAAGCTCCACTAATTTCTATGGGTCTTACGTGAATGTGCTCAGGACTGCAGTCTTAGTCCTAAGCAATTGTTCATAAGCAAATCATAATAAACCTCTGGAAGAGTAAAAGTGCAGTCCTAAATAGAGTTAGTTACACTTTTCTAAGTCCATTAAGGTCACTGGACTTTTAGAAGGGTGCAACTGTTTAGGGCTGCATTGATTCAGGTGGGGTAGCCATGTTGGTCCGAAGTAGCAGCACAAAGCTTGAGTCCACTGGCATCTTTAAGACCAACAAAGTTTTATTTAAGGTGTAAGGTTTTGTGTGCAAGCACACTTGCTCTTCGAGCCTTACATACAGGAAGATGGGGGCGGTGGTGGTTTGGAAGCGTCAGGAGGGACCAGTCAGAGTTAAGATGCATAAGTGAAGCTGAGATTGGATCAAGGCGGCAAGATCAATGAATCAATCACACACACACCCCTCCAATCTTCCTGTATGTAAGGCCAGTAAGCCAGTTTGGTGTAGTGGTTAGGAGCAGGGGACTCTAATCTAGAGAACCGGGTTTCATTCCCCACTCCTCCAGTATGCAGCCAGCTGGGTAATCTTAGATCAGTCAAAGTTCTCTTAGAGCTGTTCTCTCAGGAGCAGTTCTCTCAGAGTTCTCTCAGCCCCACCTACCTCACAGGGTGTCTGTTGTGGGGAGGGGAAGGGACAATGATTGTAAGCTGCTCTGAGACTCCTGAGTGAAGGGCAGGGTATAAATCCAATCTCTTCTTCTTAAAGGTGCCATTGGACCCAAAATTCGTAGGCCTGCATTGTAAGATGTAGCAAATGCCACTGAACTCAATGAGTCTGATTTTGAAATAACAGGATTACGCTGCTGTGATATTAAAATCATGTGTCTCTGAACCCTTACTTGGGACAACAGGTAATCTTGCCTCACATACTTTTTTATGTTAAAAGCAAATGCTGGTCAAATATTGATGTTTTCACCAGTAGATTTATTTGACAGACTGGAAAAAAAGTGCTTATTACAAGAGAGCGAAGGTTGCTTCTCATATAGGGCGCATGCGTGCAAGTTAGGCTTGTCAACAGCCTGGAGAAAAAACACCCTGTCCCTTTAGTGGAATCGTCATATGTAGCAATGGGCAGGTGGAACTTTTCCTGGCATGGAGGCAAATAGCATCACCTGGTGAATAACATCCCATTAAGCTTCTGTTGAGCAGATAGGACAATTTTTCTCCAGGCTGTTGGCAACCCTGCTGCAAGGATGAAGAAAGAGTGCTTGGGGCTCTTTAGCATGGAGAAACGATGACTGAGGGGTGACATGATCGAGGTTTACAAGATTATGCATGGGATAGAGCAGGTTGAGAAAGAACTACTTTCCTTCCTTTCTCACAATACAAGAACTTGCTGAGCAGTCAGGTTTGAACAGATAAAAGGAAGTACTTCTTCACCCAAAGAGTGATTATCACATGGAATTCACTGCCACAGGAGGTGGTGGTTGCTAAGCATGGACAAGGGAATTAGATAAACATATGGAGCAGAGGTCCATCAGTGGCTATTAGCCACAAGGTATAGATAGGAACTCTCAGCCTGAGGCAAGTGATGCACTGTATTCTTGTTGTTTTTTTGGGGGGGGGCAACAGTGGGATGGCTTCTAGTGTCCTGGCCCCACTGCTGGACCTCCTTATGGTACCTGGTATTCTTGACCACTGTTGTGACAGAATGTTGGACTGGATGGGCCATTGGCCTGATCCAACATTGGCTTCTCTTATGTTCTTGTGAATTGTTTCAGAGGGTAGTCTGTGTCAGTTGGCAGTAGAAGATTGGGACTTTGCTGCACAGTAAAAGGAACAAACTAAAATGTCAGACCGGAAGGGAAAACCCTATAAGATAGTAGTATCGCTATGCCACATTGGGCCAGATACTGCCTCAAATAATAGAACTTAAATGTTGAAAGTCTTTATATACGTGTATTAACCATACTGGGAAGTGAGTAGGTTCTCTTCAGTTGGAGGAATGTCTTTCTGGCATCGAATAGAAAACATAACCTCGAGTACATGCTAATAAGCTTCATGCATTTTTATATATTCCTGCTTCTGTTCAAAATGGACAACTTTAACTACTTGACCTTAATCATGGCTACCCAAGAAGTACCATTCATGTTGATTAAGCATGTAGCTGTGAGACTTCATTTTTGACTCTTTCTCCTCCAACTGCTGAGGATTCTAAAGTACAGAGCAAACATTAAGCATAGTTAATAATGGCAGCCTCATAGAACTTCCAAAAGCATAACTGATTGAAAAGGATGCATGTCAAAAGCACAAGCATCTGTTATACCTTTGGTTTAGGCATTAACTGGCATAAAAAGTAGCTTGTGAGAGAGTCATAAGAACATAAGAGAAGCCAATGTTGGATCAGGCCAATGGCCTATCCAGTCCAACACTCTGTCATACAGTGGCCAAAAATACCAGGTGCCATAAGGAGGTCCAGCAGTGGGACCAGGACACTAGAAGACCAAGAATACAGTGCATCATTTGCCCCAGACTGAGAGTTCCTATCTATACCTTGTGGCTAATAGCCACTGATGGACCTCTGCTCCATATGTTTATCTAATTGTTTATGTAATTGTTACCTAATTATTTATCTAATTGGATTGGTGTTGCCACTCTGCTTCCTGCTCTGTGAATGGGCCTTTAGAATTTAGGGTTTTTTCCCCTTCTTTAATGGCTAACCATAGCTTGTAGTATCACATTCACAACCACAAGCGATGGTTTGCTCTCCTTCTAAATTCCAGTTGAATCCATTTCCTGGAGAAAGTCTTGTCACTCCAAGTTAGCCAAAGCAATGAACTTAATCTTGACAAAGTAGGTAGGGGTTCACTAGTGCAACTCTTTCATGATCTTGGTTGAACAAAAGTTGTATAAATATGATGCTAAGTATGTTTACTTGGAAGCAAGTTCCTTTGAGACCAGCTTATTTTTCCAAGCCTTTCTTCTTTGTCAGTGGGAATTAGAGTTGCCAACAGCTTGGAAGGGGAAAAAATATCTTGCCCCTTTAATAGAGGCCTAATGTCTAGAAATGGGCAATTGAAGCATTCCTAGAGATGTAAAATTTCCGGAAATTTTGAAGCTCAGAAAAAACCCCGGGTTTTTTCGGGGGGAAATGTAAATTTTCGGAAAAATTGAAAAAAATGCTACATTAGCATTTCTACTGTCTTTTCTAGATTGAAAGTCATTCTGTTACTTTAGGAACATAAAATATGACTATGGACATTTTTACTTGGCATGAAATTATCACAACTAGCATATTAAAAATATAGTGTATCCAAACAATTATTACAAACAAAATACCCATCCACGTGCAAAAACAAAACTGAAACTTTTTTATTTTCTTCTGACAATCGCACCTCCTAAAGGAAGAAATGCATCTTGTTCTTGCATTGGAGAGTTCAGTTTGTAACCTAGGACTTGCTTGTCCTCAGTGCACAGAAATTAGATCAATCTGATACCATATATATATATATATTAGAAATGATTTGGAAAATATTTGAACACCTTGTCTTAAAATATTTTATTCATCATGTTAAAATAAAACGTTCCATAATCAATTTTTTTCTTTTCTTTTTTCAATTTTTCCAATTTTTTGGAAAAAAACAAAAAGGCTTCGGGAAAAAAACGGGTTTTTTTCCAAATTTTTCCGGTTTTTTTCCAGGCCTTCACATCTCTAAGCATCCCATGGTATTGATGTAAA